GTATCATGTTTGGACTCATTTTAAAGGATTTTTCACGACGATTACAAATATGTCAAAATTGACGTTGACATTCTTAACCGGAAGTTGACCATAACTTCATTAATATTGAAGATAAATATGTCGTGTTTGTACTCATTTTAAAGGGTTTTTAATGAAGATTACAAATATGTCAAAATTGAGGTTGACATTTTAAATCTGAAGTTAGTTATCATATAATAGACAAATGGACAACTCCATGGTGTTCTTTTATGATGTATTCTTTAAAAAAACATTAAAATGAGTCCAAACATGACGCATTTATCTCAAAAAACAAGAAAGTTTGAATAAAAAAACGTTTAAACCCGAAGTTAGCAACAATGAAGATAGCAATTTAATTTTTAAATATTAATACCAACCTTAATTTTTAATTTTTTTTATTGTATTTTTGTTTTTATGACAAATATTAAAACATTTTATAAACACAAACCGGAAGTTTAATATTGGAATTAAACGTATCATGTTTGGACTCATTTTAAAGGATTTTTCACGATGATTACAAATATGTCAAAATTGACGTTGACATTCTTAACCGGAAGTTGACCATAACTTCATTAATATTGAAGATAAATATATCGTGTTTGTACTCATTTTAAAGGATTTTTAATGAAGATTACAAATATGTCAAAATTGAGGTTGACATTTTAAATCTGAAGTTGGTTATCATATAATAGACAAATGGACAACCCCATGGTGTATTCTTTATTACAAAAAACATTAAAATGAGTTCAAACATGATGTTGCTGGATATCACTATGTTGTATATTTTTATTGCACTAAAACTAATACTTGACCTAGAACCAGAAAAATTCGGGTTTAGCCGTGCGTCTCTCAGTATAACGGTATAATTGACATTTCAAAAGAAATTGAAACAACACTAACTTTTCCCAATATTTGATTCAACAAATAAAATTAATTATTTTACTTACATAAAAATGACGCGACGTCCAGTCTAGATAGAACACACCCCAGAACCATCTTACGAATCTCCCCCTGGCTTATTTCTGTATCGAATAAATCGAAATTACATGGAATAACAAAAAATTAAAGTATGCTCCTCATTAAGAACACATCAAGTTACTTACCTTGAGAATAATTATTAAAGTATTACTAAAGGATTCCTATTTAGATAAAACATTTTCATGCGGTTGTATGTACATTTATTTCCTTTCAATCGTTCAAATAATAATAATATTTAGGTAATAATTATTTATTTAGGCAGTGTATATCGTCAAATACTATATATACATTAATTTTTGTTTTTATATTTTTCTTTATGTACTCTTTTTATTTTTTAGAAAATCTCGCTTACACAAGATGTAAGTAACGATCATCGAACGTTAAAGTACATTCTTTTCTTAAATTAAACTGTTTTATTTTTTTTCGTGTAATATTTTTTTAAATTCGCGCTGATTTCACAAACAAAGAAATTGAATAGAATTTGACCAATTTAAAAAACGAAAATACGTTAACGGATCGTGTTTACATTTTATGTTTGTTTTATTTTTCTTTTTCTTAAGTGTTTATTCACCACTGGATTTTTTTAGTCAACAAATAAGACAACAGTGAGCAATTTTTGATCATCAAGACTGACTTATGATCGTATTTTCATGTTTAACCACGCCGGTATTATTTCCATTCTTCGTATTTATTCGCATTCTTATTCCAATTCTTATTTCCATTCATTTTCCCATTCTTATTCGTGATGTCACAAAACTTTCATTTCTAAGCTACGATTTTAGTTGGATGAAACCATTTTATTTTATTTTTTTTTTCAAAACGGACCCCAAAATCAAATTTTTACAGAGGCGGCCTAAGACAATACTGTAATTGACATTTAATTATTTTCAACGTAAGTCCAAACGGTACGTCTGAGTCTGGTGGGTTGATATTTGGGGTTGAAATAGTTTGGAAAATTCTTAGCATTTTTTTTTAAATAATTTTTGTGGTAACAAAAGAAAGTGTTTTAATTTTTATTTTTTTATTTGTAAATGATGTAGATTACAAGTTGTTGTTGGGTTTAACATGCTAAGAATTTCATGAAACTATTTCTTACGAACAATTATTTGTACAATAATAACAATAACCTACCCAAAAATGGAATTATTGAATGTGTGTGATACGTCGATCGTGTGTATTTTTTTGTGTACTAGCGTGTTACTAAAAAGTACGTATATAAACCTTTTAAAGTTTTCTCATGTTTAATAACCACTAAACGTTTCTCTCAGTAATTTTAGTAGCATTAATAAACATACGTTCTCATATATACACATGCGCTCACATCGTTACGAAGATACACAACTTTCTTAACCTATTTAACGCCCGATTTTTCGCGTAACTTTTTCCCCCGATACTTTATTCATTTTTCATTTAAATATACTTTGGACTAAAAACCGTTATTTCCTCTTCTAATGAGCATTTAGAATTATTTTCGGCCTTGATGAACGCAAGACGAAAATATATATCAATAACATTAGTCAATAATTTGCACTAATAATTTATTTACAAAGTGAAAATGATGCATGCGGTTATTTCGAGTACATTTTTAATCGGTATACTTTGATATGAATCCTGTAGTTTTTGTACCACATTTACTTTAGAATTTCCAACTATTTTGCTTCGCTTTCAGCTCTACATCTTCACTTTTAGTGATACAACTCTAATTAATGAATTTAATTTTATCAAAACAAATTAAGATCAATTCCAATGGTCTCAGTCGGTATAAAATAACTTAATCAATGAATAGGTTCGAAATGAATAATAAATATGTCCGTAGAAGCAAAACTTGCGTGGTATTATTACTCTATCTAGTCATCATAACTTATAATCGTGTCGCTTTCATCAAGATCCGTACAAGTATAGTACAATATAATCAATGGGTTCATCGAAGTGGATGGACAGTTTAAATGATTCAATAACAAACATCTGTTTAGTTAGTCATCAGGAAGAATGTATTTCACATTCTTTCGATGCTATCCACAACGAAAACACCACCGCGGGCACAACATGACAATAACATTAAATATAGCTCGTGAACGCCGATAGTCATCAAAGAACGATCAATTTAATAATAATCTTTAATGACGATAGACAGTTCTCGTAATAATAATAATTATTAAATGTAAATAGTTTCAGTTCTTTGTATTACTATTTTTTTTGGATAAATTATTTAGGCCATGGCCACACTTTGAAGTCACTGCGCGTTTTTCTTCCCTATGTTTTTTTCACTATTTTGGTTTGCTTGCTATTTATGCTACTATAAAAAAGTCGGACTTGTTCTTAACGCGTACGGAAACGGAAATGTAAAACGCTTATAAATAATCTTCTCCGATGGGAATTTAGAATTTGATGTGATTGATCCACTTCCGGTCTTCATCGTCTCCCCACGTGACGACGCTACGAGTCTAAGAGTCCGAATTTTTAACGATTTCAACAACTATATACGTATATATTTTGTATCTTCTTGTTATAATTTTCTCCCCGATTTTACGTCAAGTCGAGGGCACACTTAACACGACAACCATCTGTTTGTTCAATTTATTTAGAGGGTTATTAGATATCGGTGGATTGGTAAAACTTTTAATTTTTATTTTTATCGTTGACTTTATTGTTAAATCAAGTTTTAAATTTATGGTAAGATTTAGTAATACATTTTTTAATTTAATTTTCTTAGTTTTACCAATCATCTCAATTTATTATTTGCTTATCGTGGGGGAAAATACATCGACTTACTTTATAAGAACTCCCTATTTACTTATATTTTTATTATTGGCGAGTAGGGGATTTTGGGAAATGTGTGGGGTCGATATTGGGCTTAACCGGAAGCGGCGGAACGTCACATCACGCTTTCGTGCACGTTCTTTTCCTTTCGCGTTCGCGTCCATTTACGTAACGCTTCGAATTCGTGGTTCTTAATTTCGCGGCCTTCGAAGGGTCGCGCACTATCATCAGTGTTTGTACTCGGGGTACCGTTTCGGCCGGTGTATGGTGGCGTGTTCGGGGTGGTGTGCGGCGGCTACGACGCTTGGGGGTGCTGGAACGGGTGCTCTTGCGATACTTGTTGGTTCTTCGCTCGTTGAACTTGATGGTGATGGGTAGTACTCCCGGGGCACTGTTGAACCGCCACCGCTTGTACCCGCCTGAACCCCAACGGCATCCTCACTCGCCCATCGTGCTAGCTGTTGCTGAGCTTGAATAAATTCATCACTAGAAAACAAGAAGTATAACAACACTACCAAGTGTGTTGGTAGTGAACACTGAGGGAATTTGGACGATTTGCTATAGACTTTTTAATTCAGTATTGAACACTAGAAGTCGTACTATTATAGCGCCTCGCCCGCAAACGACAAACTCAAATAGATGACATTAACCCTTTATGTCCCGACGGTACTTTAAAGTACCGGTAGTTTTAAACACTCATTTTAAACTGTAGTCATCTATTCGGCGCATTTAGAGCTGTCGGTACTTTCTACTATACAAGAAAGAATCTGTATAAAAAATTACACAATCCGCACTGTAGGGTTTTTAGGTATATTTAAACTTATTCGTCCAGATGTGACCAGAGATTATTACAGATCATTTTAAAAAGAAAGCATTGAGCTTTAATTTAAAATAAGTCTCATTCCTTAATTTCAATAAATACGGCTTCCAGGAGTTTTTAAATCAGCATCTTTTTTGATAGTTTTAGGTTATACGAAAATGTAAGTTTTGTTTCAACATTTTTTTTCTCAATATTTTTCCAATCCAACCCAACAGTTATTATACATCATTGTAAAGAGAAAGCTTTGAGCTGTAATTTAGAATAAGCCTCATTCCTTAATTTCAATAAATACGGCTTCCAGGAATTTTTGAATCTGCATTTTTTTGACACTTACAAAATGTTAATTTTTGTTCAATATGTTTTTTCTCAATATTTTATCAGATTTTCGTCGTTCTGTAAATACAGGTCTGATAAATAAATATTCAAATTTACTGCGTCCACGAAACGGGATTGCCTATTTTGCTAAAATTGATTCCAAAGGCCTCTACTGAGTGTATTTTGATAGCTTTTTAATTCTGTCACAGAGTTTCAAAATTTTTGACTTCTTGGGACACAAAGGGTTAAATTAATGTGACTTCTGAAACTACAAAGAAACCATGTCAGTTACACCACCAGTTCGTAAAAACACTAAATAATTTATTAAATAGAATCAAAATGACCTATAATTCCACGTTTAGTTTACAATTTGTAACACATGTCCTCAAATCACACGCAGATACCGTTAATCGACCTCAAGTGTCCATTTAGGAGATATATCGGATGGGATGAATTAGAGATGGATTTGATAGTTACCTTTCGCTGTCGGGTGTGTCGCCGCAAGGAACGCCTCTATCGTGATCGGCGCTCTCATAGATGCTCTCTTCGTCGGCTTGGTGATGGGGATGAGGATACGGTAGTCGGCTGGCTGGTTGCCGGTACCTGCTGCCGTACATAAACCTAGAATCCCGGTGGGATTGATGAGAGCTTTCGCTGCAAGCCGAGGATGATTCCTGTCTGTAGTGGCGGTCCGCTTCAGTTTCCGACATACGTATGTCCTCCGAGCCGCTGGGACTCATATGTCGCGAATGATGTTCTAACTGGCGGATTAGATCTTCGAGATTTCGTATCCGAATAGGACCGCAGGGAGGTACCTCGTCTTCGTCTTCATCTTCAGCTTCAACCACAACCTAAATATTAATAATTCAAGATTAAACGTTTTAATACACAACTTTAGCACGTAACTAAACGTATGGCGACACGTAGCCCAATATTTGTGATTACAAACGGATCTTTAACGAGTTCTGTGACCGTCGACGTTCGCAACAAACGGAATCGTACCGCAATTGAAAACGTCGAACGCCGGTGCCACGGTAGCGCGAGGAAAGCCAGTCGAGCATTAATAATTGCATGCAATATACGCAAGTGCTCTCCAACATCGGCCGAATTCTCGCCAGAGTAGTTTGTAAATTCGATTACTCGCGACGAACTCTAATATAACGCGGCTCTCGCTGCTAAAATTCGAGCAGTTACCAATAAATGCAATTATGCAGTTTCGACGGCAGCCGCGCATAACGAACTCGCGTGCCATTTAAACATAAAAGTTCGCTTTCCACAATTGAAAACGACAAAGTTCGTGTCGTGAGCTGCACATATAAGAACGAGCTTTAGATATTACGAGATTCCTTTATATTCACTACTTTGATTTCCATTGATTTCAAATACTCTTCAATACGGGGATAAAATTTAATATAGGACAGTTTGATGTCACGTATTGATCATTTTTAAGGACTTACCTGAGTTTCACAAATTTTCTCTTGGCTACTTGTCCTTTTATAATCAGGATATGCAGCAGCACACTCTTGCAAGCTCCTTCGTAGTGCTTCCTCATTGAAAGCTGCGTTGCTTCCGGAAGGAGTTGAAGTTCCTCTATGAGATGCCGCGTTTCTTAGGTGTTTGATGATATCTTCGTGATATCCGTTAAGACTCTTGAGGGCGCGTTCTACGTCAACCGTCATGCTAGCGCTGCCCAATATCTGGCTCATATTGACTTCGGCCTGATTCAGTTCTCCTTGCGACCCGTCAGGCCAAGCTTCTTTACCATCAGCTGTAATCATCATGCTGCTGTAGTCGTGCTTTTTCAGAATACCCTTTTTCTCGGAAGGCAATTTGAGGTTATTATGTTGCAAATCAATGAACGATACGGATTCGTCTTCACCTAGGCGTTCACAGTTTCATTATGGCTAATGTAAATAGAAATTTGGTGATCATACCTGAGTGTGCTCCATCTTCTTCTGAAGCATTTCCAACTCCTAATCGTTTAAGCTGCATTTTATGATCCCTACAATTTTAATAAATAATGTATGTTAATATTTATTAATGAGATTGTTATTTAAATAACTGCATGCAGGATTTGAAACATAACGTAAACCTACGCCCGTTTAGGAAATTGATACTATCATAGTAATATCCCGGTTAATAGAATGTATCTATTGTGTTAATTGTATTAAATAGACGAGAGGATGTTATAATTGGCATGTATTGCGTAATTATTAACTACGTATTATGTAATTAGAACTAATAATTATATATTAAAGTTAATTAATTAATTGAATCATTGTAGGTTAATGTTAAAAATGTACTATACTAACGGGAAATGCGACGATCCTCCTGGAGTCATGTGGTTGGTTGGTCGGTACAAAACTCTCTGAGAATCAGCTCGACTATTACAAAAACATAGCAGATCAAATGGTAATTATTATAATTTATAATTACGGATTTTGAAGGAATATTGGATCTAGGAAATGGTAAACCAACTGTTTAAAGAAAAACCAATAGTTGTTTTACCTGAATACTGTCACTGAAAATCGTTTTGATCCCCAGCTTCAGTATATTAAGGTTTTCATATAAACGTTAACATGATATGCATAGTATAAGCAAGTGGACATGATACACAAAATGGGCAATAAAAAGCGGCACTAAGTAACTTAGCGCGACCTATAACGAAACCAAAAATGCAACAAATAAAAACGAGCAATGGCTATGAAATCCCAAAGTTTCACCGTTTTATTATTATTATCACGCAATTCCATACATTTTCAAAAGAACAAATAACGTTGCTGGTTCTATATGAACTCATTCATACGATGGGTTAATTGGGTTATAAACATCATCGGCTCTCTTGCTGCTAACAGAGAACGCTGATGGTGATTGGTTGGTTGACAAAACTTACCCGAAGGAGGTACTGTAAGATAGAATCTTGTTGGCACTCTCTAACGCGTCCTCTTGAGAGTGATTTCCAGCGACTGTATAATTTTTCGGCGCCTGATTTTTAACATAGGGTTTCTCGTATTTAGGTACAGTTGTCTTCCTTCCGTTGCGAATGTTTGGATGGGGATATAAAAGAAAGGGGAAGACCGAAACGAAAATACCGTATTAATACGCTTATTCAGATTTTGTTGCTTTTTGCACACAAAAAAAAATGTCAACACTTCAAAATCTACTAAAATAGAGTTAAAACAATTATTGTGAAATCATTTTTGAGTGTTGACATTTTTTTAAAATTTACGACACTGATATTTACACATGCTTCTCCGATATACATAGATTATAAAAAGAGATAAAAGAGAAAAAGAGAAAATAAGTGTTTAGTGTTCTATGTACACCGTTTGTGTTAATATTGTGGCTATTTACGAAGAGTTGTTATTTATTACTCAATAATATCGTTATATATATATAACATCTCTTCGTGTACGTAATCATACTATTACCAATGTGCCTCTTGAAGCTTGTTTTTTGACGTGTTAGTTGTCCATTTGTAGAGAAAGATAGAGTGTAGTGTGGGGCAGGTGGCGGAAGGGTGATTTGGGGCATGGATTCCGTTCGCACATCACGTACACTCGCAAGCAACACACACATACGACAAGCAAACTGCCTTAACACCGACAAAGACATTACTCGATGCTAGGCATGCCAAACATCCCCTCTGGGCACTGCATGCAGCTGACCAATATTGTACAATTATACACACATATACACCGGGCGGAACACATACTGTTTCAGCCGAAATTCAGTTAATTATGGCTGGATTTGCAATAGCGATGTTGCCTCGCACTCTCCTATATATGTAACGTAAATACGATGATTGACAACATTACTATATTATTTATTAATTTACTAATCGGCTGAACATGTATATATATATTATATTTTTATGTATTGATTAAATTAATATGCGGACCGCCCATAGCGAGTCATGCAGCGCCTACTCCGATCGAAACTAGCACACAATAGATAAGATTTACAATTTTACCGCACAAGTAAGAAATAGTTTCGGTGGAAGGGGGTTTTGGTGTGGGGTATTTCATGAGGGCCCGTTTTTTCTTTCCACGTGGGGCGTGTGGCTGTGAAATTGTAAATCTAAATCCCGGGGACATGATAGATGGCAGGGTAATCCACGGCTCCGGGGCATTTCCAATCAGGGTTCGTTCCATTTCCGTTGATCGATTGATACCAAGTCCACGTTACGTTCTATTAACCTAGTTTCGCTATTTATTTTCGTTCGAAGAAAGGGAAGTACCTCTTAGGGGGTGCCTTCTAAAAAATCATTTAGCGGATGTGCAGTTTTTGAGAATGTCTGTGCTTAATCGGGGGTTTGGTTTCTATGGGATTACATTGCCATCTAAACATAGCGCCAGGGTTATGGCGAATGCCATGCTATGCAACTAGGCATGAAGCGCAGCGTCGGCAAACAATTCTTTTTGGTTGCCGACGATCTGATCTAATGCTACGGACATCTAGCGGAGCAAATGAACTGTAAAATTGCGGATAAAGTGGTGTACAAATAGTTCCAAGTTTTGTGTTATTACCAAAAATAAATAAGGGTTAAATAAAATTTAAACGGATAAAAACAAATTTCGGTTAAATAAAAAATAAACGAAAAGACAAGCGAGCAGATGCTGAGAATGTGGATCTCTACCTGGATGGTCTGCCCACTAACCTGAGGCACAGCGAGAAGTTTTTGTGTACTACGACTGACCTGTAGCATAGAGCCATAGTTGCAAACACTATGAACACACCCCCTACCACCGACATGAGTGTACCCACGAGAAAAATCGTGTTCGAGCCGTGATAGTCCTCTGCCGGTCCAACGCAGGGAGTAGACAGGGCCATTTGTGCGGCGACACCATGCATCATACACAAGATAGAAAGAAGGAAAAAGCACCAATGAGACAATAAAATATACATAATGCACACTGTACTGTTTTTACGTAAGAACCAACTATTAATACCAACATTGGCTGATGTTCACGCCCGTGTAAGTGATGTGATGTGCGTGTGTTTTTGTTATGGCAAGGTGTACGTGTAGTGTATCAGATACAAAAGCTTTTCTCTTGTGCGACTATAACGTGAGTACATCGATTTTGTAGCACTGCTCTTTGAATTTATTGTATCACAAACATTGAAATTCTCCATCACATCATATAATACCATATCTTGATTAAAATGGTACAAAAAGCAGTGCAGTGAAATTGTTGGCCAAGTGCTAACAATAGAAAAGCGTTTGCTTGTAAATATAATATAGACATATAATATTTCAAAGAGATACTCAATAAATACGTCACGGTGTAACATAATAAGACAATAATAATAGTACAATATTACGTAATATGATATATACAACGCAACATCGACAGTACTCAAGAAGCCTATGTACAGGACACTGCCTATTGTAATCATGGCATCACCATCATCATGTCATAGACCACAATTGTCATCATATGCACGCGAGAGCGGTGCCCTTCCTGAGCGACATGAACGCTGATTAAAGGTACCTGTAGCAAACTGCCACAACGGCAAAACAAATGAAGACGCCTTTGACCACGCCTACCAGGATGAATACCATCGTAAGTGTGCTTAGGTTGTCCGTATTGTTGGCTCCTGGGAAATCACAAACTATATGCTCAAAGATTTCGCTTTGCGACGTTATCAATTAATTATTAGTAAGATATGTATTAGGATGTAAAAGAGTATTGAGTCTTGAATGAGTACTGTGAGATGTTTGTGCACGTGATAAACCGGCTGATAGATACATACCATAGTGGGTTTCTTTCTTCTGCATAATTTCGGAGAGGTTTTGGATTCCATGGTTACTCGATGGGTCCTGCGGCGGTGTCGGAAGTGGTTGAGCGATTTCCTCTTCGATAGAGCAGTCGGTGCCGCTCCAACCCAGTTTGCAAAAGCACGTATTGGTATTTGTACAGTACTGAAATTAGATTAATCGAAATGATACACTAACGAAATAAAAGAACGCAAAACTTACTCCATTGCCTGAGCATTCCTTATCATTATGGTTAGTAGGACACTTAGTCTGGTCTATATACGGATATAAGCTCGAACACGATTGGTTGATACAAATCAAGTTGTCTCCACATGGTGTACCGTCTAATACAAATCCCACGTATGGAAAGCTTGATTTTGCTGCGTTTTTTATTACCGAATTATTTCTATGTGCAGTCCTAATTACGTAAATTAATCATAGTATGTAATGATTAAATGAAATAAATAACTCACTTGCACTCATATTCCTCTCCTCTTGTCGATATTATAGTCCTGTAGTGGTCTAATTCGCCAAAGACGGGTTTTTTGTTTCCTAACTGACACTGAAGCGATCCACACTTGACATTTTCATGGGAACATTTGATGTACTTTCCATTTGCGTCTATTCCGCAATGACCACTAGCGAATCCCTGGGAATTGAATTGGTCGAAGCATTGGATATTAGCTCCGATGCCGCCATATCCCCAGATCTGTTCGCACTGTATTGCTAAGGTTGGGCACATTCCATTAAAGCAATAGCCTTTCTCTCCGCAAGGGGAACCGTTCTTTTTGTATAAGTCCGGCGGACAATCGCCGTTGTCTCCTGAGCATTGTTCTGGTAGATCACAGTCACTGGTTGAGTCCCTACACACTTCACCCCTTTCTTTAAGCTTGCAGTTGTCGCAACATGGACCTTTGGCACATTCCGCTTCTTTCGTTAGTTTACATGTAATGGGATCACAACATGGGTCCACGGTTGGGCATTCTTCTATAGTTCCACAATCACATTCTTCACCTTCCTCCACTTCTCGGTTGCCACAAGTTCTTCGAACCTATTCGACCAAAATAAATAATGTAATAATTGTACGAAATTAAGACAAATTCAACTAAGTGCTTCTAGTATTGCTAACTGTTCTAACTTACAAGATAGCTTGTCGAACAGTGATAGTTACCTTCAAATTACTTACCTCCAGCTCGTTGGGTTTATTCATAAGACAAATACCGTTTCCAGTTCTCAGTCTATCGACATAATCAGACTTACTGCACTCACTAAACTTATATGGTTGGACATTGTCGAGTCCAACGATGGCTTGGGCCATGATGCACCCGTGCCAGTCCCGACAAATGCACTCTTCGCGGCCGTCGTCGTGACCCATCCCAATATTGTGACCGATCATATGTGCCATCGTCCCAGCTAAAAGATGGGGTTCGTAGGTGTTGATATCCACGCTAATACCAACGGCTCTAGGTCCACACACTGTTGCAGGAACTGCCATACCAGCTTCGCCTCCCACAAACATCTCCCCCGTGAGTAGTTGCGTCGTGTCCTTTTCCACTTTGAACAACCTCCGCGTTAGATATGAATTGAAAGTAGTCAAAGCAACGCTAATATCCTGATTACGATCGATCTGAGCTTGATTGCCACCTTGCCACGTTTCAATATAAACAACGGACACCCTGGTGTTCAATGTCCGGAAGTATAAATCCGCTATATTGGCCACTTGGATGGAATCGTGTACCACCTCCGCACGTGTGCTACCATTTCTCTTCTCAAACATGACTTTATCAATGACCAAAGCTGTTTCGATGTACTTGGTTGCTTCTCGTACGTCTCTCCGTTCTCGATCGTGGTTTCCGGGAAGAAACCCTGCGTGTTGTTTCCGCCTCCAGTCCATCGTGCCGGAATTGGCACACCCCTTGTTGGCCTTCGTGCGCGCCTCAAATATCACGTGTGGATGTTTCTGCTAAAGAATACCAAAGCTGTGCAGTCACATGAAGTTCTATAATTAACCGTAAATGAGTGTGATGTGAAAAAAAGCGATGAAAAATGATTGTAATACGTAATCTAGTGAAATTAATGCTACTAAAATTAGCTTCCCATTATGTGGTCATTATACCACGCTTGGTAAAGCGATGTGCGTCAGGAAATCACGTAACCCTGTCGAGGACACCCAATTAATATTAGCTTTACATCGTTAACATGGTCACCCGCGTCGCTGTGAATATTATCAAATCAATAAACCAACAGTCTTTGGTACGTGAACGACGGTCGTGGTCAACAGGATATCGGTTCACATACGATCACGTGTCGATCACAGCGTATTGGGTGTGCGGTGTTGTCGAAGGGCATCCCGAGGGACGGTCGCCCTGGGAATTGCTAAGTTAGTAAAGGACAATGTCAGACGCGGCGTGAACTCGTCGACTGATCGGATAATTCGAACACAATTAAACGTCCGTCCTAACGACAAGCTGCATTAATTAAAATTAATTGGGCCGAGTTTTAATAAACACGTTTGCGACGGTTTCGATGACAACTGACAGCCAATTAACGAGGACGTTTGGGACGTTACTGGCGCCGCTGCTACTGCCCTTCAATCCTTGTCGCTGTCGATAACAGGGCCGGATTAAGGGCGCGCGGCCGAAATGTGTGGCGAGTCAATCGGCAAATCAAAGACATTGATGGAATATAATGGCGACAGACGAGGGGGTGGTTGTAATGTGTGATATGGTTAGAGTTTGAAATAGTTTTTTCTTGATTTTATTAATCGATGTTGTTTTAGGTTGATATAATGTTAATCATTATATCAACAAGCTCGGCTTAGTTAACGATGGATTTGCCAAGCTGTACTTTGCTATAACATTTCGTTCTTCCGATATAAAGACGAATAAGAAGCGAATTCACTTCGAGAAAGTAAACTAGAGAAGTTTTAATTTAACTGCTGGCGTTTACGTTTTCTGACAGCGAAAAGGGGGAGTAGAAACAAAAGTCCGGACGCACGAATCGCGGCACAATTGAATAAGTTTCGCTCGCGGTACAGCAATCTTCGGTAATGGCGTGCACTTTGTTTAGTCATGCGCTCAGGAGCACGGAAATCGCGCGGATAAATCACAAACCGCTCTGCGCCGTCGGGATTTTCACGAAAATTTAGCAGTTAAGGAGGGCGCCGGGCTCAGGGGTCCGTTGCGGCTTCAATTAATCTTGACAGGACGTTTACCCTACCCTACGAATCCTTGTCGCGTGTCGCTTTCTGCCAAGCAGTAGCTTTAATTTTATCTGTTTGGGCGTCTCCTAAAACAATATTGGGGTCTAGAGTACTAAGGACCATGAGACAAATAGACTCAAGTTAAAATAGATACCTTGGTTTTAAAATAATTAAAATTCAAATTTTTGATTTACATCTGAGAGTAGCTACATTTAGAAACAAGTCATTTCCCACTAAATTTGTGAGATGAGAAACCAAGGTTGAAGTTTGACACCGTGCTATGCGGTTAATTCATCTTAGGTCAAAGCCTATGAAAAAGACACGAGACGTGGAACACCTCAGGCGCAAAGCTTATCTGAATAATTAAATGCAGGTTTAAGCTTGCCGTCGCCCGGCTGGATTTCGCATTCCATTTGCCGAAACGAGGTCGAATTAGTTCGTGTTAAGTTGGGGTTCCGTTCTCGTCATGGTGGAATAACGAAGTTTCTCTCTATTCATGAATATAAAAATAGTAATTAGATTCCTTACGAATAATAATTCGCTTTTTCTATGTATATTTTTAATCGGGGAAGAAGATGATAAAAATGTTAAGTAACGTTGAGTTGTGGTGGTTTGAAATAATCAAAGTGAAAATACTGACCGAGAGATCTCCTCCGTAAAAAGGATGTATGACGAAGGTTTCGTTCCCCACATGGATGACTCCACTAACTCCATTGCAGGTGTGAAAGGCCGCAGTGGCTCCTGGATAATCCTGTACGGTTCCATGATAATAGCAGTGTTCAATCTCCTGTAAAATGTAATACTTTGTGTTTAAATTGAGTTTTTGGTCGAATTAAACTATGACAGCTCAAGACAAAATTTATTAACTAATTGGAGAAAGTTCTCTGTAAAGAAGCGGGAAACTACCTATAATCCGAAAGTACTGTAGAGTACGTGAACGATAATAAAGTTTGGGTATATCGAAGTCGCCGACCGGCAGCTGTATGGTGGGCGTTTACGTGCTCTTTTTGAGACTGCGGATACTTCGTTAAGAACGAGAATTATTGGCTCGTTCTTTTTTACTCCCCAAGTTTGCGACGTTCAGTAGATTGCTATTGGTGTAATTTCAAGGTAAACTCTACGCCGTAACAAGTTACGAGCAAGAGTTTAGGGCGCGGTTCAATTATTAAAAGCAAATTTACCCTTCTGATCACAAAGATTTTAACTTCGTCGCGACTGTGTAGCTTTATCTTTCGGATTGTTAGCATTTCATTAAAACTAAGAAGCTTTGCCGGTAAAAAACAAAAGTAAGATTGATAAGATCGTAATCTGAAAAACATTCACATCATGAAAACGTACCTGTTTGGAGACCTGCTCTGCACCGTTTGCCAAATAATGTCGCTGCATGATGTTCGGTGCGATCAGTTGCCTGAAAGGGACGAGAAAACAAAAGGACGATTAGATTTCAGCTGTTCGGTATGGCGCGGACATCTGTCAAAAGGAACGTATTGACATATCGGATTTTCAAGCTATGAGGGTTAATAATCAGACCAAAAAAGGTATTGATGAGTTATCTGTGTTGGTAGTTCCAATTATGGACGATAAATTTATTTTGTTCGCGTTCAATATAGGTTTAATGATTTCTTTCTTTTTTAAACGCAACGGTACTGAAACGCAGAACTACCCTTTGTATTTACCGGCGTGTGAAAGTGAAAAAGGGATCGTTGGTAAAGGGTGGCTTTGAGCGAGACAAAAATGTAAAATATCTGCCCCTTTGTTCCGGGTCGACGCGTATTCGTTTTTCTTTTATACTCCTGGTGTGCTATACTTATTTAAAAGCCTGTCATCGACACATAGCGCCCCCGTTCAGTATAAAGAATGAAAGTATGTAACGCGCGGCGCCGGACAGGCAATTTTGCCATTCGCGTCGCTCCGGCGTTTCGTTGACGAGCTCGCGTTTACGATTTCCCCCGTTCCGTTGGTGGACGTATTAATAATTCCTCACAACGTATAGAAGAGTAATAAATGCTTGTTCATTGCAGTTATCACTGTCCACTTCGGTCCGAGTTCGTCGGCGTTATTTGAAAAGGTACCTGAAAAATGGGATGTCGTGTTTGAGTTATTTGGATGTTCGCGAAAAATGAGCTTTGCACCAGGTATTCGTGTTTCAATTTTTAGCGGATCTAGGAGGTATGGATTTATTGTTAACTTGAGCTTTTGTGAAATATTATTCACCACCCAACATATCTTATATATCTCTTGACTATAAATTGACGAATTTAGACTCAATTTGTTCTTGAGATACGTTTTTTTAAAGTTTTCTATTTGATATTTATAACATTTAAACGTATAGAGTTGGATTTAAAAAATCATAACAACGATGATTAAGCTTATGATGTATACTTATGGATTTAAAGTTGTTCTTTTTCGTGTGGTTCTTGATATAAATGATTCGATGTGCCAGTTATGGATTTTTAAAGAGGATAAATTATATCGGGTTGATTATTAACAAACGTGAATGGTGCCAAGAGCCTATTATCAATCGGTTCGTTTTCAACTACCAAAGCGATTTTGGGCCGTAGCGAATGAAATATTACTTATACATAAAAGTGATTAATTAGAGAGACCGGACCGGCTCAGTTCGCCATTGAAACCGCTTCGACATCATAAAAGTCCATTAGTCGTCTCTATGCGTGGAAATTGCCGGGAGCGCCGCTTTTTGTTCCCAACGGTACCCATCCACTTTCATTTTCTTTGGCCGTGGACCGAGAGTCCTAATTGCCGAGCCCTTTTTGCTTACGAAGAGCTTTCCGGCGCATCCACCCGTTTTTTATGGCCCCGTTTAGATCGACGGGATGTATATTTCCTCTTGATTTAATAGGCCGAATCGCAAACGGATATATTCCCGTGCTCCTCCCATTCGCTGTAACGTATATTTGGCTCAGGTGATTGCTTGGTATTCTGAGTTATTGAACGGGGCTTGATATTGAAGTGAGAAATGACGGAAATGAGGTCAACCACTAGAATTACGTAGGTGTAATTGTATTTTGTGGTGATTTGCAATTATGATGGTATTTTATGATATCTTTTCATGCTTCGCGTGTCTCTTAATTTAATTACATTGTTACAAGAGGGAGTTGTGCGATGACTGACGGTATATTCGTAATAAAATCCACTGCAGTCGTTAAATTTACCTTCCATTCTCATTACGTATTCATGCTCCATTCATGGTTTAGTACCACTTTTGACATTAGACTAACGGATGAATACCTATGAATTCTAAATTCAGTAAATACGGAATGATATTTTTTTTATGAATGCGGCCAGGAAAATAAAATCTTTTCATTGGATTGAATTGAAGCACAATAGGATTATAAAATTATTTAAAAAGTTTATAAAGTTTAGTTGGTTTATAAAACATATTGTTGAAAATTTACAATATTCCGCATATTTCGGTTCAAACTTTCGGCAAGTTTAAGATTCTCCACGATTATGCAACACTATGTGTCCGGGGAGTAAGTAAACAATGCCGGAGAGGTTAGGAAAATTGACCGATACCCGGACAGTGATGGATAGAAGAGCAGTAACCCTATTGCACCTTCAGGGATCTGTTTTGAGCTGACCAGAGGTCGGTTGAATCTCCCTCCCCGAGGGATGTTTTCGACCGTTACAAGCAAACCCTTTTCAATTACGCCTATATAAAAATTACATCCCGAGTCTTCGGCGTTATAAATTTATATTGGACCACGAACCGAAGGGGTCATTTTTCAAACCAACAAAACATTTTCACTAGCACATCCGGACATATAATGGTTTCTTGTAATTTGTTTTGTATAAATCAATATACGGTATAAAAGTATTATAGCAAGAAAGTTAGTGTTTTGAAAAAGTTGTTAAGAAGATGTTTCTCATCAAAAGTACGATACAATCCCTGGGGAAATTTGTCGGCAATGTCCAACTTGATTCTCTTTAGTGAAAACTGTGTAAAACTGAACTTAGAATATGTTTAATCTAATTAGGAATAAAATGTGATTGATGCAACAAAATTTAAACATCCAGAAAATTATAAAATGTTTACTCCGATTGGTAACTTTAAAGTTAAGAGGTGAGGCATTCACGGAAAGCAATATAAATGTAGTTGAGGTTGCGACTAAGTGTAGATGATCCTGCGACTTTGATGTGCTAAGTTTTTCATTTTGAAACACCTTGATATGTTTTCGAGAAACGAAGGATACGGCTCCACGCCAAATCAAATAGATCACGACTTAATAAATAAAAGGGCAGCTACTACATCTTAAGACCAACAAGAACATGCCAAGAGAACGTCGTCAAAATTAAATCAATAATTAATTTAGCTTAAATTTAGCCACAAGCACAAAGGACATCGTGGTCTTGTAAATTTAATTAAGTTGATTTGAACATAAACACGTGAAATAAAAGTTGAAGAAAGAGAAAAATTAAATAATATGATAAGAAAAAGTATGACGTGTTTCCTGAGGATGGCATTAACACGCCGAAACCGGTAAAAACTACGATAATTAATTATTCACATTAATTTAATTAGTAGGTATTCTTAAAATTACAAATCCTTACGTGAAACATAATTCCTCTTAGTATTAATGAGCCGTCCCGCAAACAACAACACACACATTCATTCCGGTTCGCATAATCTATTTAGAAGTTACCCAATTTTCAAACAAGCCAATTACCGTTTCCGGCCAATTACGCTTTCCGGTGGGGAACGCGATAAATCGCCGAGTAGCGCGATATTAATACAACGTAATTGGAAATTTATGATAATTGTTGTGCAGCGGGGGTGCTGTCGTCGGAAAGCCAGTGCCGCCCCCTGTTTACCTAATCGAGTCACTTCCGAACAGACATCCAATTCGGAGTTCCAAATGCTGCCGTCGTCGTCGTAGTCGGTTAAGTAGAGCGCCGTAACGGCGACGCTACGCGGCGCTTAATTCAAAATAGCCGCCCCCGTGAGATCAAAACCGAAACGGCACAATCGCCGTCAGGCGACGCATATTAATGGGCCGTAACGGCGAGATTCGCGCCTTATGAGACGACTTTAGCAGCAATCCTAGGGAAATGAAACATAAACGATACGGCCACAGGGTTCAACTGGAAGGTAGACCCATTAACGACGATTGCGGAAATACCGATGACGCAGGAATTTATTGAAGCGGAGAGACAACGAGTAAAGCGTTAATGAGCAAACTTTAAACTCCTATTCGCTGTATTACTTAAGTTCATGTCTAATAATAGTTAGTTAAGTTATACATTTTGATTTTAATAAGTAGTACTAAAAGCGTACGATTAATTATGGAAGAATACGAAAAAATAAAGCTGCTAATGCAAGATTTAAAATTCTGTGGAGGACAACGGGCTTTAGAACAAAAACCGCTTCTCCAAAAATCTCCGGGCATATGAACTACGAGAACCTGAGTAAAACCAGGTACATTATTCAGCTGAATATGTCGAAACAATACGTCTCGGCATAACACTTAAGCTTTGCATAATACAGCATCAGATCCGAATACGTATTCTTGCCAAGCAATGAATTTCCGCCGCCAGGACTTGGTCGTAGAATTTAATCCGATTTTCGCTTAAAATTTTGTCTACGTTCTCTTGCCTTGTACTAACGCCATCTTACCGACTGTAATTTGACTCTTAACCATGTTATTTGTCGTAACGGACTATTTATGATTCGCGACTGTTAACTGTCCTTCACGAACACAACCAGCTTGAAAATCGTTCAACACTAATGTTTCGCAGATTTATTGCGAGTAGATCTTCGCGTAAAGCTTTGTAGTTGTGGTAGATACCCGCCTACACTAGCCGTCTGTAACGGAAACAGACCTTGTGGATGTGCAGATCGTAAAAAGCGAAAAGAGCGGAAGAAACAAGGCGAAGGATTTATCACAGCCGGAAGGATAAACTGCTAAAGTTCCTCTTCGTTGAAATCGAAAAACAAAATAGACAGGATGCTGCATTACGTGACCCTACCCTTTGGTCCAGTACTTTGTTTTATTTTTATATTGTTAGCAATGTAAGGCGTACGTAGACTTAAATTCTAGATTCTTTCATTTATTTATCTTTTATATAGATTTAGAGATTTATTACGTTCGTTTTGATCGTGACCATGTAAAAGTTGCAGTAGTTGTTGAGAATTTGAGAAAGCAATTTGAAAAACTGGGAGTACCTTGGTGGAATGGCTTCTTTTACAATTGCGAACGAAACATAGCATTCCGAACGATACCGTACATGGAGGTTTGAGAAAGACGCCTCTTCGTCGATCCTTTCGTCGGTATGGCTTCCATCCAAAGAAAGAGGCGATCGTCTTTCTATGTACGGTAAAAGCAAGTTCTCGACTCCGTCCTCCCTTTGTCGTAGTTATTTAATGTCGTCCGACAGAAGAAGAAGTTTAAAAAGTACCGGACAGCCGTGCATACGTACCACGCTGAATATCTCCAAGAAAGATATATGTATTGTGGTATTGTATCCTATTCCCCGGAGACCGAGAGGTTCGGCACAACTTCGCTCACTTCCCACGATTCTCGACTTGGAAAGTTTCTTTGTGCGATCCCGAGATAAATAATGGATGGTATTATTAATTGTTTAAAGTTTGCTAGTGTAAAAAAGTTGGATAAAATGTCGATAAATCCGATGGTTTTCTAAGACTCGTTCGCTATTGATTTGACAGTTGAAAAAGAAGTCGAAAGAAGAACTCCAATATAAATTAAATTAATTATAGGGTAAATACTTGATGGACAAGGTACTATGCGAACTATTCAAAGAATCAAATTTTTGAGATGTCCCAACTTTCAGAGTAATACAATTTAATACCTTCCATTATAGATTGGTACATTCTGCGTTTAGTGCAGATCATCATAATATGCCGTTTAGCTGTTGTACTGCTTTACGCCCTAGATTAATTTTAGGTGCTATATTCCTCTCACAATTTGGAGTCTTTCTAAATAAAAACTGCGGGTATGTAAACTCTTTACTCCTCCTTATTTGCCAGCTGTCAATATCCAAATGTTCCGTAAGTATTCTCTTTTCTTTAAGTTTAATCGACTTCAAAGTTAAATGTGATTCTCTAAAAATACAAGATCTTTTTTTGTTAATTGTAAACTAAAATACTTCAAAGAGTCATCTAAATAAAAATAGAAATTAATCATTCGAATTCCCCACAATAACAATTTGAAATGATCAAAAACGGAAGCTTGATCACGGTAAATTTCAAACAAATAATAATTTACGCCGCAAAAATCGAAAATTACAGGCGTAGATTTCGGACTGCGTCGATACGCTAACGCGCAACAATTTGTCCGCAATTTGTACATTTGGCACGGACGCGGGCGGACGAATTTTGTTATTTAATTTTCAGTGGCGATATTGATCGACGAACGGCCGCCCTTTCAGACCACCCCTTTACTGTATTCATACTTCCATCCATCAATATAATCCCTCAAATAACCATTTTTGTACCACACACAACAGGTATTTACGCTTTTATTAAATGAATTATTTAAAATTTGGGATACGCAATATATGTTTGCTGGAAGTATAGATGAGTGGAATTAGCGGACAGTTTAAAGGAGACAAGTTCGACAGTGTAGTAGGGACAGAGGGTTGGTGTTAGAGGAACGAATAAAGCGTTACTTACGTGTTAAGCTCGAGATCCAGGCGGAACTTGTGGTTAAAGGCCTTAATGAGAAGCGAGGTGCGGTGGAAGTGTTTGCCCGTCTGAAACAATAATACAGTTGCATTACAACGAGATTACGAAGGGGCGCGTTAGCACCACCCATCTCGCCCATCTCCTACAGTAGCAGGGGGCGAATGGCTAGTGGAACTCAGCTTTCGACAGCTTCCGTGCCAAAATTACGCGCCCAACTTAACTTGCGAAGTTGACCGAAGCATGTCAGAAATGTTAGAGAGTATTCGGTTGTTCTAAGGAATGTGTTAAAAATGTAACATTTCATTATAAAATCTTGTTTTTTTTTTAATAATATTATTCAGTATTCATTGAAATCCCTTCATTCGTTTCCGAGATAAGCATATCATTTTACTCGACCGCAATTTTCCATAAAATAAAATTTTGTACTCCGCGAATCAAGATATCATTTTATCAAAACACAAATCATTTCATGCAAAAGAAAATAAAACGTTTCATTCCCTTTTCGATGAAGTCGGAGTTGTCCTTAAATTTTCGGATCGATATCTCAGGAACCTCTTTTAAAATGAGTAAATATTGAGATATACAAGTTTGGAAATTACGTTTCAAGCATCCGGTGTACAAATCATTTCCTAAACTTACTCATTAAAATACATCAAGTTGAATAACTAACTTCAGCACGTACATTCACACCTTATGTTCGATAGTGTGGAATCTAGTTTGAAGTCGGTGCTACTCTTGCAAAGTTTTATTAAGATGAGAAGTAGAAGGTAGGTGCGCGATTTAGTTTATTGTTCGCGCAAAAATATCAACGTCTGCGTCGCGACGTCGCCTTTGAATTTAATTTCAATTACGAATATACCGGTGCAGTCGCGAACTTTTTAATTGCGGCGCCCGTGGACTTGCTCTCCATAATTTACGAAGTCTCGGCGCCGCCACCCCTGGTACACGACACGGCGATAGTTAAATTATCCATAAACGGACTTTAATTTCGATTGTTATACTCGGACGGTTTGTGCTTGTACACAGAATTTACTTGTATTATGACCATATTAAAATTACTTTACGGAAATTCATCAATTTACTCTTTACTAACAAAATTGGATCTTATAAGTTAATAACTTCCATCACGTAGTTATTTCGCTGTACTAAATTTGATATTAAATGAAAGTTATTGTTAAGCGTAGGAACCCTGTGTTTATTGCCAATATTTCACCTAGTTTATGTATTGCTGTTTATGTTAATATCGTGCAGCGACCATGGGCACTAAATCAAGCAAAAACTGACAGCGCGTCGTTAGCAATTTGGACATATTTTGCTGTGGCTATTGGCTCTGAAACCTATATACGAAAGATTTATGGGAATTTCTTTTGGCCTATCCAAGAATTATTTATGGTCGAATTCTTTTTATAAATCATATCTAACATAATTGCTAATTGAGAGAAAATATATCGTATGGAATAAAAATTAAACTAGAAACTTTAGGGATTCTAGTTTTAGTTTTATTTCTAATAAAATAACATCGCCCGTGAATGCCTAAACTTATAAGTACATCTAAACGATTCTTGGAAAGAAAAGAAATCTTATTAATTTAGATTATACCTTAATGATTATAATTGAATTAATATGAAAGCGATAAGGGCTGATACCGATGTAGCTCTAGCGTAAAAAAAACTATATGTATGAAAATTAATTGTCGAAAGTGTTCCACAACAAATTTTTAATGAAGATGAAACGCCGCTATGCGGAAAAGATGCCTGATTTAACAACGTTCTTGTCTAAAAATGAATGAGCTACATCGGAATTTAAAGTATCTAAGGAACGATTGACGTTTATTATTATTACTGCTGCCGAGCTGAGGGGAGCGACCCCTCTCGTATAAAATCTGTTGTAACTTTAGCCCTCCAAACCTTTAGGGCACATGTACAGTATTGGAAAAAAGTAGAACAACTTTTAATTTTTGTAAATTAAATTTGAAATTAATGCTTTTCCACATTACTATGGTAGTGTATATTATATAGAATTTATGTAGTGAAGATTTCACAAAGCTAGCCTTATTTTATTAGAAATAAAATAAAATTATACAACTTGGGTTGGAAAAAAGTAAAACAACTTTGCTAAGAAATACAAACATGTGGCAAATGGCAAATAAGAACGAGTTTTTGATAAGATACATTCGATAAGACCAGACTTAAACATGCCTCGTGGTGTAGCTGTTTGTAAAACGGTGAAGAAATGGTTATTAATAATTTTAAAACCCATGTTAAACAATGTGACATCAATGGATATAAAAACCAATGGATGCCTTGATAGAATAATTGTAAGAACAGATAAAATATATCAATTTTATTCTTCAGCTCAAATTAAGTTGGATACACGTGTCGATCTGAATTGCCTTCAGGGTGGCCCGACTGCCTGTGAAAGTGTTTATTGATACACCTTTCTGTCTCTTTTGTAGGTTCAAAGCGGTGCAGAAGTTTACAGCAAGAATTTCTGTTTGAAAAATGGTTTAATCCGAAATGAGGGACAATTTAATGCGGCTATTTGGTCCATTAGGGTGATTATACAGAAACTATCATTTTTCACATGGTAATTTGAAAATAGTTTTTTTGTTCCAAATTTTGTTTTTTAATACACAAACACGAACTTTTGTTCAAAATGAACCTTGCAACGTTCAAGATCAAACAGTTCAATTATTTTCTAGCCAGAATTGACTTGTTTTTGTAAAAACGATATGCAGAGGAATGACGAGATAAGCAGAGGAATGATTTTTT